TGACAAGTTCGCCCATAATGGAGACGCACGAAACCGAAGGAATCTGTTCGCGAAACCCGATCGTGTCAACAGCGTTCCACCAAACTGAAAAGTTTGAAGAAAAATAGAACCGAACAAAAATAACCCTTCGAAACTATGTGTATTTCGAACGAAAGATGAGATATGGAACTACCAACCATAATAGCCCAGACAGCCTCTGTTCTCTTCTCCGCTTCTTCTCGATCTTCTCATATTTTATCCAATATTTTTGAAATACCATTCGCGACGAGACCGCGCGCGTGGACTGAATGTTGTAATGACGACGCGTACCGACAAAAGCACGCGCTCCCTTTCTTTTCTCCCCTACCCTTCCCCTTTTCTTCCGCCACTGCCATCCGTGTTTCTTTTTCGATCCTTAATTTTCCCGATGCTCGAGCGCATCGGGAGTTCGTCGTCGTCTCGCGCTTTTATTTACGACTGCATTCCGTGCGCGTATTCCGTTACGGGCTCCTCTCGCACGCTTGCTCGATACGCTTTCTCCAGCGGAAATCTGACTGTCGTCGGGGTTGCCGAGGATAAAAGTTCCTGCGACAATTTACGAGCGGTTTATGATCGCGACCACGGTTTATTCTCGAAAACGGGCGCCCTCCACGTCGCGACAATAACGCCACCCGATCAAACCCGTTCATCATCCGTCCCCGTTTTATTACATCGCGTTCCGTACGAATTTTATGTTTGTTCGCGTCTTCAAAGCGCTCTGTTTAAGTTAGTACGCCGTCTTATTACTGTGTATCGCGTTACACGCGCGCCCCGTAAATTAACCACGTGATAGATTCGGCGCAACAATTTGAATAATTGCACTGGAAAACTGAAAAGTTTGAACAAATATCCCCTGTTCAGATTTTTTCTGTATATCTGGTCTTATGTGAAAAACTAATTTAAAGGACGATTAAATAACGAATTACGCATCTGCTCTCCATTTTCATCTTCGATATTTAGGAATCAGAAATTCCACATTTCTTGCGCAATTTTTTATTTTCTCGTTTAATTTATTCCATCTTCTTCTTTCTTATATTTTTATAAAAAAAACTATCGGAACGTGGTTCGCGTAATGGGAACCAGTAACTTGTCGTGCAACATCGTTCGATTGTTTGCACAAAGATAAGATTAAGGGGTACAACCTTTCCCACGTCGAAAAGTGGTCTCCTCGCAGCGTTTTATCGAGGACGATACGCAGTTTATTGACATGCGAACGCAAAATCGAGGAACGTAACTTCGTTATTTGCTCATAGTTTCCGATTGGTAGTAGCCCAACGTGTCAATATCTTTACGAATAGAACAACGATTCATGAACGATATACTTAGACCAGTGTAAACCGCAAACGTTTGAACAACGTTGCATCATCACTGTTTCGCTAGGTGGGGCAGCGATTGCACTCTAATTGAGTCGGTGAACATCAAAACTTTTTGTCTTACAATTAAGTATGCTTCTTGTGTATGCTTCTTTTGGTGCAAACGAAATAGAGATGTTAAACAGTCACGAGTTTCCAAGTCTTTTTATTTGGAAATAACTTTTGGCTTTGGTTTGGGAACAGTGGAGTTATGAATTACGCTTATCGATGACACATTCGCGGATTTTTTTCACGGTCACGCTATCTATTTTAGATAATGTTCGTTCTCGAAGCCAGAATCTTGGAAAGAGGGTTTGTCCATCTAAATGGAATTCTTCTTTGGGAACGCTAATATAATATGTGAACTTTTTCTTCTTTCGTTTTCTCGGTCGATCGATAGAGAGAAATACTAAATGTGTTATCCGTTATTTAGCGTTCCCCGATTGCTGTTCAGTTGCATATCTTGCGAATATTTACTTTTATTTCACGGAGACATAATCCTCCGGAAATTTGCAGAGATTAGAATTGTAAATATGCGAAATAAAAAAGATGAATCGAAGGACATTGGATTAGCAGTGGGTTGATTGTGTTAGGAAAACCTGTCATAATTATGACTAAATTTTACTTGAACAATGCACGTTTTTAATACAATGTATTTCATTGTATTATTCGTAGATACGACCTACTGTTTTTGATATGGAAAAAGCAATAAAAAATAATTGCAAAAATGGAAATGAAAGATGAAATTCAAAACTCAAAGTTTATAAAATAGACGTCAAGCATAAGTAAATTCTATTCAGTCAGAATTGGATGCGAACATTTCAAAGGAACGAAATCATATTATCTCCATCCACGTTCAAGACGGGCAGCAGTCACCCATTCGGCGGTGACATAATTCTCTCCTAACCGGAGAATCTTACAGACTTTGCAAACGGGTGTAATTCGATTCTCTTTATGCAATTTCACCGAATCGCGGTTTCTCATTTGTGAAATGTACCGGGTGCCTTATATGTATGTATAAAAGAACAGCCCGTTCACAAATTTCGAAATCTCGTACAGTAAGTAATTTACATTTTCAATATAGTAATTTTAATATCGGAATTATAACATTTACTGCTGTGACCAATGACAGAAGAGCGAAGGAAGTACATAAATCAGTGTCTCCTTTGTTTTTAAATGAAAAACGTGAGAAGACCAAACGAACATCTGCGATCTCTTAATCAGATCGAAAACTTCCCTCTACCGTTGCGAATAAAAAAACTGTAAATTCGCAAACGAAGTTAAACAAAACCGAGATTCATACATACTATGATAGCTACGATCTCGAAGCGCGCCGTTTGTAAATTGATAGCAGCTCGTTGAAAGTTTCAGCGGAAAGCGATCTTTGCTCGTTAAGTACCGCAGCAGCCTCCGTGAAAGACAGTGCTGAAAAGCGATCCCGACCGGGATCGAGATCGCGATCGAGAAAATAACGACGAAGCGTGACGCAGTCGCAATTAATGGCGGAAGAGGTGACCGCGACCGCCCCGACCACGATCCACTGCCCCCTTTGCGCACGTGCAACTGACGATTGCAATGAGTTTTCAACAAACCATTTACATGTGACATGCGCCGAAGGCGTTTGTAACAAACAAACATTGATCGGTCTACGTACCCGACGAGATCCATGAGGGAGATGCGTTCGCCGATTGGCGAAAGGTGCGCTGGGACCGTTCCGCGATCGACTTCAGCTCGTCTTCCGTGATGCACGCTCACGATGCGAACTTACACAAGATTATGCACACGCGTGGACAAGTAGCGCGGACGATATAAACAGGTTCTTTGTTTCAAACACACGTGGAACGTGGAACACAAGGATAGCCTCGAGATGCGTTTAGCGAAACGCGAATCATGAATCGTGGAACACGGGGGACGTAAGAATTTTTCACACGATCGATCGGGGCCCAGTTTCCAAGGTGCCACCCCGTATATCGCATGGGAAAATAAATCTTGTGGACACTCACCGGGAGGGAGACTGGACACTGGACGCTGTCACCGGACACGGGTTGCAGCGACTGCAACAGATCGCGTGCGTGAAAGAGAGGACGGCTATCAATGGCTGCATTATACAATACCGGTGAGCTGGTGTACACGTATCACGGATTACGCGTGTGCGTACGTGGCCTGGCGCGAGAGTGCGTAAACGTGTACGTATTGTGTGTATGTAGATACGTATGTGAAGACTCGAACCGGGTCCACCGTACGTACCAAACCGAGCCGAACGAACTTACGAAACGAGCGAAGAGTATGCACTGTCAGTTGTTCCCGCAGAGAAGGAACTTACTCCTCTCGTACGTAAGTAGAATCGGTACGTGCGTGTCGAACGGCACGGTTCCGATATCCTGGGAAGCAGCAACGAGCGCGCCAACGAAAACGCTCAGACAGGAGACAGTGCACGGCATACCTGATCGGTGCTCCACCCTGTTTCCAGGTTTACTTTTCGACGAGCATTTTGCCGATTAGATATCTACTCTTTTGCAAACATACTGCACCGCGAGACCGTTCGATTATTGTAAAAGACAGTCCTCCTCTTCGTCTCGTTCTCGGTCGCTCTCCGACCTGGTCTCCCTTCGCTCGCCGTTTATCTCTCTCTTTAACTGACTTTACGAACATCTTTCTCTCGCAGGTTGTTCATGGTACTCGCGAGCGCATTCTTTCCATATAACTCTGTCGCTCTCCCCTTCATTCCCACCTGATTCTGTTCGTCGTTCTCCGTCCTGTTTTTACCTTTCTTTATGCCCTCTTGTCTCCCCATCCCTCCGATCCCGTTCCCCTCTCACTCCTCTTCGATCCGCGCACACGATTCTTGCCGACGTCGCTCTCGACCGGACTGACCTGTTCACGTGTGCACCACAGCCGCAATAACTATATCCAGCCGCGCTTTTTTGTCAGCCCTTTCTTACTTACGCTCGGAAATGAATTGAGTTATTGTAAAATCGTGTTCGGCCGGCTGTAATTGTCCGCGCGTGCTGTAAACGTCCGCGGTCGCGCGACCCCGAAAGCATTTTTTAACGTGGTTCACCTTTGACGTTGTCCACGTGTACGAGTGCTCTAGTAGAAAAAATTCTGTTTCGCAGGGTACATTTTGTTCGGCGTCCACGTAATAGATTTGTCGTACGGTTTGTTACGAATAATCGAAGCGGGGGAACAGATCAAACGCGCGGTGCCGATTCGCGTTGTCGCGGAAATACGACCTCGACCCGCGAAATGATGCAAACAGATATTCGCGGACGTAAATACGAGGGAAAGACACAGCTGCATATCCACATATTTGTAATCGTAACAATTAAGAGATCTTAGATTTTTTTACATATTATGTATCAGAATTTAATTAAAAAATCACTTTGGATCATCTTAGGAACTAGAAATCTGATAAATTTTACCGAATTTCGGGAGTTAAAGAAGAGCCGCTCGGAACGTGGTAGAGTCATATTTTGTCGATTTATAACGATGCGAAATCGTTTAGAGAGACCATGGTATGCGTTTCGCACCCTTCCGAATTGAATGGAACGCTCGCGCGATACGACGACGTGACGCAGGCCTATCCTGAATGAACAAGCGCAATAAGCAGGTGCTGGGTGTTCGACTCACCGGCTTCGAATCTCCTTCCAGCTGATCGGGTTTATGGCCGTGACGACCCCATCCACCGTCGAACAATTACGGCGAACATCAGGAAGCACACCGTTCTGCGGGCACAAGAGAATCGTTTTATTAACAGTCTGTAATAGCAGGTTAAGCGTTATGGCCGCATGAAACGATTCGTGGGTACCGATGGTGTAAAATTGAAATGTTCTATGGGCACGGTCAAGCGCCGATCGGCATGGAAGCGTGGATGGGAAAGTAAATCGGTCGAAAGGATTTTTCTGATTCATCGGTTGTTATGTTGTTCCGTGTGAATTACACAGACACTTTTCTGAAATAGTTAATATCTCAAGTGCCGATAAGCGGATATCGGGAAGACTATATGTATAAGTATGTATCTTGTTTGGGTAGTAACGAGATTTAGCTCGAGTAGGTTGTACTACGCTCATTCATGGTTATCAGTGCGCTAATATGTATTATTACATGTGTGTAGTTCCTTAAGAATTTTCTCAATATTTCCCACGCCGATGGCTCTAGCAAATTGCAGATATCTTATCCTGAAGTTGGAAACCTAAGCAAATTATTTTATCAGATAGAATAAGAGAAAACTTCATCGAAACCGCGGAACGTCCGTAATAACACAATTCATTTTCGAATCACCTCCGTATGGCATTATAATCCAACCTCTTGATAATTGATAACGCGCTTCGCGAACGTGGAGGATTTGCACGGGGGTCGAGAGAGTCGTGGGCCGCGGTTGCGACCGACAGATACGAAGGGTCTTGCTCGAAGACAAAGGACGATGATTCAGAGTTGGCTGGAGAGAAGTACCTGGTAGATGACACGAGATTCCTCCGAAGGTGGGCACTACGTCACTGTCTTTTTCTTCTGGCCGTGCACACACCGCGTGGCTATCGGCCGAGCCACGAGTCGGTTTTCGACTCGAAACACCGGCATTCCTCCCGCCGCGCGCCGCGCCGCCGCCCGGAATCCGACGATGTTAAATGAACCGTCCCAAGAAAATATAATGTCCGTTAAACATTCTTCCCCGTTTCTGTAATTTACGGTCAACCGAAATCTCTCGAAAATCATCCAGCAAGATTGATCGCAACGCGGCGGCGCCGACAAGAATGGAAGGAATCTAGTTCTGTTACACAAATAGAGGTGTTTTTCTCCGTGTGATATTATTTTAAAATTATTATTTCTCTCAAACAGAGGTCAGCTAAGATGAGTGCAACGGGAGCAAAGTTGTGTGAAGGTGCATGGAAAACTTGAATATAATTCTTTTTCTTGACTATATCGTGTTTTAGAATTTCCCGTTTCTATTATTGGTTGCACTTTTCAAAATTTAATTTGCAGACACCGGAAATTTTGAACGAATTATACTTTTCTGTACAAGGAGAAATATTTATTCTCTTAAAAATTCCATTGACTTTGCAACTGTGCTATCGGTAGCACGCGGGCGTTCCCGGGTAGCCGTAAAAGTAGTTAAATAGCCACTTCGAATTTTGAAACGAGGAGATGATGGATCATTAGACCTGAGAACCCTCGCGTTCTGCCTAGTCAGTGAGAATCGCATACCTGCGATTTGTACAAAAAGTTAATCGTATGACTGACATTGGTTAAAATTCATTTTCTACAAATAGTAGAAAGTGTTCTTTTGTAGTAATATTGTAGACAAGATTATAAATTTTATAATATTGTAAACTCAGAAGTGAATTCAACTCTGTAATTAAATATCAATACAAACAATTTGTAATTTCGTATACACCAGAGGCATCATCTCCTCAAAAAGGATAATAACAGATTTAATAATATCGTAAATAACCTTTGTATGTTTGTTTAATTTAAGTGCTAATAGAGTAGCCGATAAATTCGTAATCACGAGAGTGCAACGCCTACGGCTATAAACATGTTAAGTAGTCAGCTTGGAGCACAGAAATAAATGATACCCGTACGAAGTTAAAAGAGAAGCTGGACGGTACGGATCCAGAAACTGCGTACCGTAACCGTGAAAAAAATGCATAAACTCAGCTTGTGTTACGCGCAATTGTCGGATAAGGGAGTCGCCGACAGAAGCAACCGTGGTAATGGGAGTTCGAGCCACGATTGCGAGTGCTCGGCGATAATGCACCACCTTCTTGTTCCTCTTTCGTCGTTCTGTATGCTGCACACTAACGTATAACAAATCTTGTTTCCTGATAAATGTAACGTTCGCGCCATTACCAGCAGGAAGAATCATATTTTCTGACCATATTTCATGGAACTCGAGAGTTTTTCTGGCATTCGGCAGTCGCGTTATTGGTCGTCTCACGCGTATAACTGGAAGGAAGTTGTAATTCTTGTGTAATGCAATGGCGCATCAAAATCAAAGAGTTCCGTGCGCTTTTCTTTCACCGTTTCTGATTGCCTAGATAAAGACCGTTCCTCGCCATATTAGATCCTCTAGAAATCCCGAGTCGCTTCAAGTTTCCGCTATTACATTAATATGCTAATAGTACGTGGGCGTTATTAAGGAACAAGAAAGCTCGAGGCTCGTCACCCGGTTGGCCATTTTTGGCCATGCCGAAACGTAACCAGTCTTTATCCTTCTTGTCCAATGCGTCCGCTCGATAGCATAAGCAATGTTTTTAATTCTAGCTTATAATTTCTCGATGTTCTAAAATTTTGTTTCGAACACAATAGGACAGTGATACCTAAGAAAACGGAGTAACATTTTTGAAGAACAGGTTAACCTGGATTTACTCGTAAGTTGCAATTGATACGACGCGACGTTATCAATAGAAATTGCTGTTACCAGTATCCAGATGGCCCGGATAGAGTAGTACAAAGCGCCATTATTTACAGGCGAACAGATTGGCTAGCGCGGGTCCAGGAATTTAGGTGTGCTCCGATTTCTAGACTACGAGAAGAACGCTCGGTGCAATTTATAGCAGCATTGTTACTCCCATTGTAGTTCTCGAGCTAAATGCGTGGGCGAAGTGAGACGGTGACATTACGCTTTGCGAAAACCGGCCGTTTCTGCAAACGGAACCCTCTGTTCGGATAATCTATATATAACAGGTTTCTGCTGATACTCCAGGAACAACCTTGTTTTCATTCCGTAACATTCGCCATATAGTCACGTAACAATGCTTCGCCATCTGATTCACTGTTTTATAATACTGTCGTGTGTACCAGATTCTATCAGATAAGTTCGAATTTTTCGGAATAATTAAGATTCTGAGAGCTGCAGACAATTGGAGATAAAATGAAAAGGTGTCGGAGTACTGTTAAATAACTAACAGTCAATTTGAATAAACCGTCAGGGTATTGCGGGTACAATAGAGTTTCATATAAAACGGTTAACAAATTGTTATAGTTCCTGAGTAACGCGGTGAGAAAGTTGCCGCAGCTGCTGTACAACGTAACGAGCGTGTTTTAAAGTGCAATGGGAATTCCCATCTGTGCGTCGGGATTTTCCATTCAATTTCGAACATCTAAGACATTTATCTTAGATAGTTATGTAAAAACTTCGATTTCTTATTTTAGTTTTATTGTGTACCTGTAGCCTATCGTACTCCAACTTAGACGCGGACTTGCGTTCTTCCGCATTACGAACACCATCCGCGAACCCCAACCGTGAAAGAAACCACGGCGGAGCTCACCATAAACCCGATCAGATCCCCGAGGTTCAACAACATCGCGAGATTGAGACAATCATCAAACGGAGCAAGAAACAGTGAGCCAACAACCCAGCCATTCGTCCGAGAAAGAACCACGGCAGCGAACGGCAGCCGCGGTGACTCGAGGCGCGGCGCGGCGCGGCTGCAGATGAACAGCTGATTAAGAAGTGTTGACTCCGGTCCCACAAAAGGAGTAGCGGGTCCGTTCGAAGATTCAGGAACGATCGGAGAGGAGAGAAAAGAAATCGGCCCGAGATAGAGGCGAGATCGGTCAGGTAGGAGTCCGGTAGGCGAGCTGTGTTTGCCGGTTGCAAGGCAAAGTCCGAACTGCTCTGCAAGGATGCTGGAGAGGCCGAGTGGTGGCGGCACGGCCGGTGTGGTCAGGTGGTTCGCAAGGACGCGGCAGGCCGTTCACCCGTTCACCCGTTCCTCTACCTCCTCCCCCCTTCTGCGCCGATCTGGCTGCACTCTGTCCTCTCCTTTTCACGGATCTCTTTCCTTCTTAACGCGGATCACACATCCCTTTCCTCTCTTCCAGCCAGCCTCCATCTCTCCCCTTCCTCTTCCTCACCTGTTTCTTCGCTCTTCGACGGGTGTTCCCTTCTTTCTGCAATCTCGCGGCTGGCTCGATGCCCGTTGTCTCTCTATCTTCTAGAACCAAACAGGCACACTACCACGGAACACAACACAGTCACCGGCTTCTTAACTAAGTTATACCGGTATTTGTAGGTACTTTAACTGGAATCACTAGACTCTTTCCCTCCGTTCGTGTAAACACAATAATTGGGTTGTTACACAGCGTACTTTTCGCTTGGCCGCATTTTTTTCGCTGATAACACCACGATCGTGAAAGCTTCGACGATAAATAAAATATCCACTATATAATTTCCATTAATACACAAAGATTCTTTAATGGAGGAAATGTAGCAAGATCGATCGTCGAGGAAATTATTTTTTTACATAATAATGAGAGAATATATTTGTAACGCAAAAAAATAAATGTCTATACTACACAGTTTTGTACCGCATTCAATTGAGAAACCTAACAATCTCTTTTCTGCACTTCAACCTTGTGCGGACTGTCATTAATTCCATGTAAACCATATCTAGAAATGGAAAATGAAAATAGTACGTTAGTATTCCGCAAAACTGGATTGAAATAGAAAGGAATTACACTTGACCAATCGTGATGAAACACTTCCTTTCTTTAGCACGTTTTTTACATGTCGCTAATACGTACTCGCTAGATAAGTGTCACCTGGCATGATTTGGTATTTTCAATCTGGAACTGGTTTCACGATTTTAGCCAGACTGCGAACGCCGATACGTGAACTAAAATTCGCTTACAATCTCGGAGCACGAGAATCATTAGCATTTTCCAACCATTTTGTTGACCTTCAATTAATAGCTAAATCGTCATAATTTACCGGGAATCCTCG